TCCATAGTCAAACTTGTTTTATTAACCCCCATCAACAAAGTCTTCAACTTCTTCTTCTCTAACTCATACACCTTCATACAATAGCTTTTAAGTGTATAGCATGATATCTTTTCCTAATTTGGCATCCCACATTTTTGCATGTTGTTAAAACCCTCCTCCTCCACAATTGAAAACGAGTGCTCATGCATAAGCACCCCATGTGCAGCTAGTCATCTCATCCTTATCATAACAAACTTGCCATGTGTAAGAGTAGGCACCACACTTCCCTCTCCCTCAACACCTGAATCTACATGCTGAAAAGTAATCTGTTGTTGCCTATGAAGAATTATTTGCCTCACACAACTCTTCAAATGCCTTGCAAAATGAGTAGTGCTCCTGGTTGTTGTAATTTTCCACTTCAACTTACAATCTTTATTTTAAGACTTGGACCGGATTGGCCGGTCTGACCGGTTCGACTGGGACTCGACCTTAACTCCGGTCTGAGTTAACATGAAAACCGGAAAAGGCATAAAAATCGCTTTAGACCAGTGGAATAGTACAAAACCATTGGTCCGACCAGTCTGGATCTTAAAACGGTTCACTATTTTGGGGTAATCTGATCCCTAATTTTTAAACCAAATTCACAACACCGTTTCATTCTCTATGTCATTGTGCCAGCAAGTATTCTCCATTTTATTTCAATATCATTTTCATCTCTAAAGACCAAATTGCATCTTCCATTTTCATCTTCTATTCTTCTTCACTTACACTAAAATCTACAGTGTAAAGAAGAAGAAGTAAGGGAAGGGGAAGGAAGAAGAAAGAGAAGAGGAGACAAAGAAGAAGAATAGAGGAAGGAAGAAGATTAGAAGAAAGAGAAGAGGAGACAAAGAGAAAGAGGAAGGAAGAAGAAAGAGAAGAGAAAAAAATTACCAGAGAAAGAGGGGAAAGGGATAAAAGAAAGAAGAAAGTGACGGGGAGAGAAAAAAAGGAGAGAAGAAATTGATGGGGAGAGAGAAAAAAAGGAGAAAGATGAAAGTGATGGGGAGAGAGAAAAAAATAATTAATAATAAAAGTTGCAAGTTATTTCATACATATAGGGACTCATGCGTCCATTTTAGGGGTGTATTTATAGGTTTTCAAACTTATAAGGACTGAAAAAATTGTTCAGGAATGTGTATGTTGTATACCGGTTGGATCGGTCAACTTAGAAACCAGCCCCTTGACCGAGTTAAGGAGCGGTCTGGTTTTTAAAACAATGCTTACAATGGATGCACTCAACCTTTTTCGTTTTGTCAAGTAGAACCATCCCTCTAAAATCATCCCAAATAGCAGATGTCTTAGCTCTTTTTTTTTTCTTTTTTTTTTTTTGAAATGGATTGTAAACTATGTTAGGCAGGCTAGTGGCAGTGGCAGCGACAACAGTTGCACTTCCATCCATTTGATTTGTAGTGGGACCTTTAGTAGCAACAGTAGTTGTCTCATTCAAATTTTGTGATTCACGATCTTCAAGTGCTGCAATGGATAGAAGTGTGGTTCAACTTGGCGATAAGTCGACCATAACTTGTTCAATCATAAAGAAAAAAAAAAATTAATGTAAAGAAAGAGAAGCCATAAGCCATATAGTACTAAAGAAAAAAAATTAATGTAAGCAATCATGCAAGCACAGCAGCATGTTGTAATAGTGCGAGCGCAACTGTTTTGGGATTTTACCCAAATAGTTGGTGGGCAACATGTTTTGCCCTTTTTCCAGGTTATTACTTCTTTGGTTCAACCCATTACACAACCATTCCATTCCACTCCACACCACAAGACAACCACACCACACTTACACAACACAATCATACATTCATGTGTTTGTATCATAGAACAAGTGAAGTCCCTGGGGTGGCTGTGTCGTCGCCGACGGATTAGCGGGAGAACTGACTGGTCGGAGTCTTGAAGACAGAGAAGCGTCGATGGTGAGTAGTGGTGCAACTTGTGAGTGGTGAATGAAGTGGACGAAAATAGGGTGGTTGTGTTTGTGCAATTGCAATTACACTGGAAATTGAATGAGTTTTTTTTTTTTTTTTTTTTTTAAGGTTTCAAATTCAATCGAAATGGGAAGTGGGAAATAGGAATAATTGAAATAGGAAGTTGGGAATAATCGAAAATATTTTTTTACATTTTGGGAAATATAAATATCTAACCCTTCACAGTTGTAAAAACTTACATATGTACCCCTATTAAAGCCCTAAAACATCATAACTCCCCCTCATAGTTTTAAACACTGACATATGACCCTGGAAAGTATCTCGAGCCATAGTAGGCTTGTGAGCCCTCGAGTCGAGCCATAAATGACTCGAGATAGGCTTGATTTGTGTCTTAGGCCGCTCGAGATCAAGATCGGCTTGTGAAATCTCGAGCCGATCTCGAGCTTGACCTGAGTCGAGCTCGAGCCGGTTGCGAGCAAGTCGGTTCGGGTCACAACCCTAGTTTTGAATTGCAAATACAAAGAAGGAAAAGAAGGGAGATGAAAAGAAAAGAAAAAAGGTCAGAAGGAATTTTTTCTTTTTTTTTTTTTTTTTTTTTTTTATGGAAAAGAAAAGGTAAGGTTAAGTGAATATGAGGGTTAAAAAGGTCATTTTTTGATAATCTATGACCGAAGTTATAATGGAAGTTGACGGGCGGGTGATATTTTCATAATTTTCAAAACATTAGCGGTGGTTTATGTGTAATAACCCTAAGGGGGCGTTTGGTTGGGGGTTATGTGAGATTACTTGGGTTATATCATCTTTTATTACTTGATTACCATGTTTGGTTGTCAAGTAATATAAGATACCGGTAATCTTCAAATACCAATAGTAGTTACTATTGGTAATATCGGAGGTAATCTGATTACCTCCATTTTCTTAGGTATTCTGAGATTACCAGAGTTATCTTTTTTTGTTACAATTTTATCCCTTATTAATAAAAATTTTGGACAATAATACCCCTACTTTAAAACAAATTTACATTAATATTCTATTTCAATTTTACCCTTGTTTAATTAAAATTTGGACAATAATGCCTTTATATTTAAAATAATTTACAGACCACCACTAGATCCCAGCCACCACCACCACTACCACCTAGCCACCACCGCCGACAACGGGCCAACCACCATGGACTGCTGTCGAGAAATTGTCAGAGTCCCTAAAAAAGAACGGGATTCTGTGGGAGGCTCCGAGAGGCTTCGTATCAGGTCAGATCTGGCCGGAAATGGCCATAACTATTCTGGCCATTTCCGGCCAGATCGATGGAACTGACCGTTAACGGCCAGATCTATTCTGGCTAGCCAGGTCCATAGCCGTTAACAGCCAGGTATCTGGCCTGATATGGCCATTTTCGGTCATCAATATGGCCAGAAACGACCATATTGAAGCCTCTTGGTCATAGTGAGGTACTCACGGGGACTCTCGGAAACTTTCGACGGTGGTTTGCGGTGGCGGCAGGAGGTGGGGGTGATTTCATCATAAATTAAAGTTTTATATAAGCGGGGGTGTTTTAGCTAAATCTGAAATATTGGGGGTTAAAAGAAATTATTCAAAAATTAATATTATATTAATATTTAAAAGGGGGACAATTTAGTAATTTAAATAACATACCCACCAATTTATTCGCCATAACCAAACATGTTAATATAACATACCCACCAACTAACCAAACACACTTTCTTAAAGATTTTCAGTAATCTTTCAAGGTAATCTATCTTTCTAGTAATCCAACATTTCTAGTAATCTAACATTCTTGAACCAAACGCCCCTAGTCTCAGTGTTTAAGTTTTAGTTTCTAAAACACCAGGGTAGTACAACGACCGATTAAACACACATAAAAATAGGCCTAAAATTGGGCCTGGGTATAAAATTAGTTTTCACTTAGGGGGCGTTTGGTTGGGGGTTAAGTTGGATTACTAGGGTAATGTCATCTTATATTACTTGATTACCATGTTTGGTTGTCAAGTAATATAAGATACCGGTAATCTTCAAATACTAATAGTAGTTACTATTGGTAATATCTGAGGTAATCTGATTAGCTCCATTTTCTTAGGTATTTTGAGATTACCAGTGTTATCTTTTTTTGTTACAATTTTATCCCTTATTAATAAAAAATTTGGACAATAATACCCCTACTTTAAAACAAATTTACATTAATATCCTATTTCAATTTTACCCTTGTTTAATTAAAATTTTGGACAATAATGCCCTTATATTTAAAATTATTTACAGATCACCACTGCCACCCAGCACCACCGTCGACAGTGGGCCAACCACCACGAACCACCGCCGGAAAATCACCGGAGTCCCTAAAAAAGAAGAAAATTCTGTGGGAGGCTTCGCTATGGCCGTTTCCGACCATATTGATGGCCGAAAACGGCCATATCAAGCCAGATCTGGCTGGAAATGACCAGATCTATTCTGGCCATTTCCGGCCAGATCGATGGATCTGGCCACTAACGGCCAGTTCTGGACCAGATCTGGCCGTTAACGGCCACGAACATGGCCATTAACCGCCAGATCTGGTCCAGATCTGGCCGATAATGGTCAGGAATCTAGCTGTTTTCGGCTATCAATATGGTTGGAAACGGTCATATCGAAGCCTCCCGGAGCCTCCCACATAATTTTCTTCTTTTTTAGGGACTTCGGCGATTTTCCGGTGGTAGTTCGTGGTGGTGGCAGGAGGTGGGGGTGATTTTATCATAAATTAAAGTTTTATATAAGCAGGGGTGTTTTAGCTAAATCTGAAATATTAGGGGTTAAAAAGATTATTTAAAAATTAATAATAAAAATAATATTATATTAATATTTAAAAGGAAGACAATTTAGTAATTTAAATAATATACCCACCAATTTATTCCTCATAACTAAACATATTAATATAACAAATCCACCAACTAGCTAAATATATTTTCTAAAAAATTTTCAGTAATCTGGTAATCTATATTTTCAGTAATCCAATATTCTCAATAATCTAACATTCTTTCGTCAAAAGCCCCCTTATTACAATCGTCTGTGCATATTAAAATATTTTCATCTCTTTCCGTTGATTCTCCCACCAATCCCTGGCTCTGCAATTAACTAACCTCACCCACTTGTTCAACTACAAAAGGCTACATTCATGAAACAGTCAAAATTCCAAACCTTTTGATTCCTTCAAAACAGATCACAACACCTCCAACTCACTCTCACTCTCTTTTAACTTCACTATGCGAAAGCGACCGCAAGCCGCTTCGGCGGTGCCACCGCCCAGCGCCACCGAACCGACTCACGAAGAAATTAAGACCGTTAACAACTTTCACCTGAGGAGCGCGCAGAGGTCGGGGTTTGTATGGACGGTTTTACTTGCGTTGTTTATGTACAGATCTTGGGGCGTTTACTATTATCAGTATGATTCCATGCCTCCGCCGCTGAGTTCTGAGCAGGCCGGCAAGAGAGGCTTCTCTGAGATTGCGGCCATGGAACATGTAAAGGCGTTGACTCAATTGGGCCCGCATCCTGTTGGTTCCGACGCCCTTGATCGCGCCGTGCAGGTTCGTTTCATTTCATTTTATAATATTGTCAATGTTATCGTGTTTGTTAGACCGTTGAAAATAAAAATGGTAACTTTTATAATGATGAACTTTTCAGTTCTGCAGCTTAAGTCCTCTCAATGAAGTTTAAAAGTTACATGTTACTGATATGATGTAATTTTTTATCTTTTAATCTTAATTAACATTATTTTGTATTAATATTTTTGCTGCCAAACAGTTGGCCCCCTGTGGATTGTGCAACTCTTGTTGTTTCTTTATTAATGTTGCGTTTTTTATCAATATGGTGAGGGGTGATCTTTTTTCTGCAATAATGATGTAGGTGTCATAGTTTAACATTCTTTTCACCACAGTATGTTTTGGCAGAAGCAGAAAATATTAAGAAAACTGCTCATTGGGAAGTTGATGTGGAAGTGGACTTTTTCAATGCAAAATCTGGTGCAAATCGTTTGGTCAGTGGCGTCTTTAAGGGAAGAACACTTATTTATTCAGACCTAAAGCATGTCGTTGTCAGATTTACCCCAAAATATGCATCAGAGGCAGCAGAAAATGCCATTCTGGTCTCTTCTCACATTGACACCGTTTTTGCTGCGTATGATTTCTCCACTTCTTTAATCTTTTGGGCAGTTCTTTGACTACTGTCTATATGGAATGGTGCTTTTTTCTGTTTATTCTTGAATGTAACAATCTCTGTTTATAACTAATTGATTCAAGGTGCCTGTCTTGGTTCAGGGAAGGGGCGGGTGACTGTAGTTCATGTGTCGCTGTTATGCTGGAACTTGCTCGAGCAACGTCTCAATGGGCTCATGGATTTAAGAATGCTCTCATATTCTTGTTTAATACAGGGGAGGAGGAGGGTCTAAATGGTGCTCATAGTTTCATAACTCAGGTTGAAGCATATTAAATTTGTATGCTGAATGGAATCCTAAACCCAAATTTGTTTTTTGACTTAGTGTTCACTGCTATTTAGTAGTTCATAAGATGATATGACATGTCTGTGTGCCCCAATTAATTCAGTGCTTGGTCTGTGGGAGGTGCATGTAATTGCTTATTTCGCTTTTTTCTTTTCTGAACATAAAAGAGTGTTTGTTACTTAATAATCAAAGCTCATACTTTTCCATGAGAATCATATCTTATATGTATTAAGGTTTCAATTTTTTGATGTAGCATCCCTGGAGTACAACTATTCGCATGGCTATTGATTTAGAGGCTATGGGTATTGGAGGGAAGTCTAGCATTTTCCAGGTGAATTTTTGTTAATAATGCATTTTTATTTTATTTTCATTTATTAGACTGCATATGGTTGTGAACTTTTCAACTGAAAGGCTTCATGCGGATAGTGGTGATGCATTTGATTAGAGATTTTTTTTTTACGAAGACTTAGTCGTTAAGTAGGTCTGTGTCAAGCTTTCATTTATTTAATGCCATTATTGTTGACATGATTACACATCTAAAACCATCTTTCCCTATATTTTCTTTTGAATTGTGTGTCTACATAGTTTCCAAGTCCATAGTGGGGCTGTTTTGCTTGGTGAGGTTGTATTTAAAGTAATATAGTGAAGGAAAGCATCTAGGGAACTCATACTAACTACTATGAGCTTATCTCTTCTATTTGATTCTTGGATTGGCATATTATCTGATTGTTGACATGCTGGAAACACTTCTCACACATGCCTTGTTTTTCCACAACTAACTTGTATGCCTCACAGTTTAATGTGACTTTGTGTAGCTGACAAAAAACCACTGACTGCTGAATTAAGTTACTTGTCAAATTCCAATTTCTGTCCTTACTATTTTTGTTAGCCTAGACAGTGCTGAAAGAAAAGCTTGTCATTTTATTCTATGGATAATGCAAAATCCATCTTTTGTATTCTGACCTCGAATTAATATGAATACTGTAAGATGCTGATCATTCATGAATTATGTATGCTTTGAATGCAGAATAGCATGCTTCTTTTTTTTTTTTTTTTGTTTCTTAGCTTCTCATTTCCTTTTTTTTTTATCATCTCATCTTGAACTAGATGGATCAAATAATCACGAGTCAACAGCTTCATATATTTTCCAAGAATTTTTTATTTATTTATTCTTTAAGTTGTCAGTTAAGCACATTTTCTCCACTTATATTTTGCTTCTTGTTTTGTAGGCTGGTCCTGATCCATGGGCTATTGAGACCTTTGCCTCAGTAGCAAAATACCCTTCTGGTCAGATAATAGCACAGGTTAGTGGATCCATTTTTCACAGTTTTTTTCTTCCACTGCACTTTTAGTTTTTTCTGTATGCTTGTGCTACCAGCAACATTTTATCCTGAGAACTTTGATGTTGCAGGATTTTTTTTCTTCTGGAGCCATTACATCTTCAACTGATTTCCAGATATACAAAGAGATAGCTGGTCTTTCAGGCCTTGACTTTGCATACACAGATAGAAGTGCAGTATATCACACCAAGGTGTGTCTTCTATATATTATTCTTTTCCCCTACTAGCAGTGGTTTTTTTTTTTTGGTGGGGGGGGGGGGGGGGGGGGGGGTAAACTCCATTTATTCTAGTGGGTATAGCAGGCAGGCTTATATTTCTTGTTTCAATAGAATTCCTTATGAATGTTGTTTCCATCTACTTTTGTCTAAAATAATCAAGTTATTAGTGAAGTACCAAAATTAAGAAATTTCCTCTTGTGCGAAATTATAGGGGATTTTCATGAACTTAATTGTATCTTGACCTAGAATACTGATTATAACTTGAATATTTTACATTTGCAGAATGACAAATTAGATCTATTAAAATCAGGGTCTCTTCAGCATCTAGGAGAAAATATGCTTGCGTTTCTGCTTCAGAGTGCTTCATCCTCTCATCTTCCAGGAAGCAATGCAGTGGAAGAAGAGGGAAAAACTGACCATGAGAGCGCTGTATTCTTTGACATTTTGGTAATTTGGTACCTTTGTAACTGCTAAAATCTTGAACACTGTCGTAAACCGGCTGTCCGCTCTCCACCTTTCTGCTCTCTGTCATGAGTAGTGGGGTGGTTGTGTGAGGCATTCTGCTATCCTGAAATGACATTTGCTATGTTAGTTTCTAACTCTTTTTCTATCTCAGGGGACTTACATGATCTTATACCGTCAGCGTTTTGGAAATTTGCTTCACAAGTCAGTGATAATGCAATCACTTCTGATATGGGCTGCATCATTGGTTATGGGAGGTTATCCAGCTGCAGTTTCATTGGCCTTGTCCTGTTTGAGTGCTATCCTCATGTGGGTGTTTTCAATTAGTTTTTCTGTTCTCATTGCCTTCATTTTACCCCAAATTTCTTCATCCCCAGTGCCCTATGTGGCAAGCCCCTGGTTGGTGGTTGGGTTGTTTGCTGCACCTGCTTTCCTTGGGGCTTTAACTGGTCAACATTTGGGTTATATTATTCTGAAAACATATCTTGCGAAAGTATATTCCAAGCGGAAGCAGTTATCACCTGATATTCAAGCTGAGTTGATCAAGTTAGAGGCTGAAAGATGGCTCTTTAAAGCTGGTTTTGTTCAGTGGTTCATCCTTCTAGTGATGGGAAACTATTATAAAATTGGATCCTCTTATTTGGCTCTAGTTTGGTTAGCACCTCCTGCATCTGCATGTAAGTTTGCAGTAACAGCTCTCGGCTACTAGAATGTAGACAATACTTTTTTTTGCTTGAGATGAATTGAGTGTTGGATATCATGATTTCATCAAAATATTTATATGAGATTTATGAGTTATGATCATGTGGATGCTGTATCCATGTCATATGTTCAATTCATTATTCCAAGTGGCTGCTTCGAAGTAATTTTTTATATTGGATATACAGATGGCTTGCTTGAAGCAACGCTGACCCCAGCCCGGTTACCAAGGCCACTTAAACTCGCGACTCTGCTCATGGGCCTGGCTATACCAATTTTAATTTCTGCTGGAAACTTTATTCGATTGGCTGTCACAGTTGTTGCAATTTTGGTTCGAATTGATGGGTAAAACTTTCTTTACTGATGTCAATTATTTGATGTCTAAGTAGGTAAAAAAAATTCATGCATTTTTTGTTCAAATTCTTTCATACACTTCATTTTTTCATTGGTTGTTTAGCAAGCTAAATTTCTAAGTAGCACATAGTTATCAATGGCACAAGTTACACAGGTCTCTTAGAGCCTACAAGCAAGGTGCATCATGGAGGTGCTCACCCCCAAGAAAGATAAAACATTAATTTACATCAAATGTTCAGAGTTGTATGTAATCAGTAAAACCAGTTACATATAACGTCTATTGTGTATGCTGGACTGCCTTAGTACAGTCCATTTAAGCTATGTTTTCTTCAGCAGTTATTGCACCCCAGCAACCATAATTGGATGAGAAGTCAATTTGAATATCTTCACACTTGCACCTCTGAAAGTTGAATTACATTGTCATACGCTAGTTGTGAATTTAATGACTTCATTTGTCAGTTGATCCTGCTCTGCATTCATGTGCAGGAACCCAGGTGGCACCCCTGAGTGGCTGGGAAGTGTAATAGTTGCGGTTGTTATTTCTATTTTCATATGCCTAACTCTGGTGTATCTCCTTTCATATATTCATCTTTCAGGTATGCATATTTCTTTGCATATGACACTGACAATTTTTGTTCGTCACAATTGGTGCTACCATTAGATAGGGTGTCAGTTGCATAATTGTGAAGCAATTTTGGTGTATTCAAACCAACGTCCCACTGTTAGCCATTGGGTATAATTGTAGCATGTTCAGGTCTAAGGTTGGAAGTACATTTATCACAATGTCTCCCTTGATTCTCACCATTTTTGTTTTAGTTGTTAATTGGGAATTCTTCCTTTTTGTTTTTGCTTTCATGTTGTAATTGATTGTTGTGTAAAATTGATGTATAGGTGCAAAAAGACCAATTGTCCTTGCAACATGTGTTCTGTTCAGCCTCTCACTCATACTGGTGTTATCTGGTACCGTTCCACCATTCACCGAAGACACTTCCAGAGCTGTGAATGTAAGTTACATGAATACTTGGTAAACATGCCTTTGCCATTTTGTTGGTTCTGACATGGCTAAAAAGTAACTGAGATGAGCTGCAAAGTTTGTCTACCTTGGTAGTTGTCTCTATAGTTACTGCATATTCTTTTGAGTGCTCTAGGCTCTAGCTTTCCAATTCACCAAATAGTGGTCATCACTTTATTAAATGTGGTCATTGCTTTCTAATGTGAGATTCAATTAACCTAGTTATGCTATGTTTTAATGGTGATTAATATTTTATGATTTTCAGGTTGTGCATGTTGTAGATGCAACTGGAAAATTTGGTGCAAAGCCAGAACCTAGCTCATATATAGCTTTATTTTCTTCTACTCCTGGAAAGTTAACAAAGGAGGTTGAACAGATGAAAGAAGGCTTCATTTGTGGTCAAGATAAGGTTGTTGATTTCGTTACTTTGTCGATGGAATACGGTTGTTTGACCTATGATGACACTGAAGGTGGGTGGAGCCAGTCAGATATTCCCACAATACATGCTAATTACGAATCCAAAGTTGATGAAAGAATCACACAAGTTTCAATTGATACCAAGGATTCCGTCCGGTGGTCTCTTGCTATCAATGCTGAGGAAATAGAAGATTTCACTTTCAAAGGTATAATGTACTTTTGTCAATGTGCACCCTTCTCCTTGTGCCTAGCTTACTGTTCTGTGTGCTCCATTCTAATCCTACTTACCTGAACTTGTATCTCTTATCCTTGAATGCACAGACGATTCAGGGGAGTTAGTTCCACGCGACAAAAAGAGCAGCATGGATGGATGGTTTATAATCCAATATTCAGGAGGAAAGAATGCACCAACAATGTTTGATCTGAATCTTTTCTGGGTGAAAAATTCTACGCGATCATCTCAAAATGTAGACAGAAACAGTAAAGAAGAGCATCTCCTTCTAAAGCTGAGAACAGACTTCGACCGATTAACACCACGAGTAGAAAATGTACTTTCCAAGCTTCCTTCATGGTGTTCGTTGTTTGGGAAGTCAACATCTCCTCAAACTTTATCCTTCTTAAACAGTCTTCCTGTTAATTACTAGGTAATTGGCAGAAAATAAGAAAGATTTACAAAACCCTGATGTAATCATACAGTGTTAGATGTAAACAAAGTTAGATCATTGTGTTTATTATAGAAATTATTATTGTATTAGAGGATATAATAAGTTAACATATGAGTTTGAGGAGTGAAAATCTTGGAATTTTTTTTTCTTTGGTTTTGTAATTTGTACTGAAAATGAACTTTAATGATAAAGAAAAGTTTATTGTTGAAGCATTCATGTCATGTGCCGCTTTCAGGTGGGTGTGTTTGGTTTATTATTTTGGATAGTATTTTGAAAATAATACTGGATAGTTGAATAGGGGAGTATTACGAGGTAAAATTTAAAAATTTCTAAAAAATCTCATAGGTTTGCTAATTTAATTAAACATCCCAATAGATAAAAATTGTGTAAAATGACAAAAACACCCCCATCACCCGCAGTGTCAGATTCTGGCCATTACCTTCGGAATCTGGTCGAAAAATTGCGTTATGACACAAATCGGTCGAATCTGTGTCACAACGCGTCGATATGACATTTTCTAGCCTGGTCAGAAAAGGCCAGATCGGTGAATAACCGGCCCTTTTCGGTCGTGGTGTAAGCTGTTGTGACAGATTCTGGCTACCACTAATGGTGGTTGCCGGAATCTGGCAAGTATGGGTAGGTGGGGGTGTTTTTGCTAATTTTTAAACTTTTTTTGGGATATTTATGAAATTAATAAACTTAAGGAGTCTAAAAGTAATTAAAAAATACACTAATATTTCTCAAATATTGTGCCAAACAATATTTGGGAAATAGGATTGGGAATATGGGTAGAAATATTTAACATTCATTTATTAACTCATAATAATGGTTCAGGATAGAGAATTATATTAGTTTAGTAATCTTAATATTTTGAACAACAATCTTAAATAAAACCATTCATAATATCGTTTATGAACAATTAATTGAGATACACGTAAGTTGATCCGGACACTCTTGGATGCTAAAAAAAATGTCCATTGATATCCCAATAAAAAGAAAAAATCATAATATTTTACTAATTAATACTCTGATAATATTACACTGACAACCTAATCTTATAATATTTCTCTCATAATCCTAATATGTAGCTCATAATTGATTTTTGACTAATTACAAACTACTATGTCTGAATTATAAGAGAGTTTGTAAAATTGATATGTGATTTGTGAATCAATATCTATTATTTATGTTCTGTTAAATCTAATTTATTTTACTTTGACCAAACCAAAAACAAACAAACAAAAAAACAACTACCCACAGGTTAACAAAGCAGTGGGCACAAAACACACGTGTGTACTAAGTATCAACTAGTCCACATTCTTTCCGGTTGAGTTACAGTTTGAGTTGAGTTGAGTTGTGTTGTGTTGTGTTGTGTTGTAAACCAAAACCGAAAGAATCTCCACTCCCTCCGATTGTTGTGTTGAGTTGAGACAAAATAATCTCCCAATAATATGCGAACCTTACCTTTGGGAACCTCTTCTCTAACCGTTAACAATCTCAATTTTAAGAGACAATCTTCACACTCTTACTTTTCTTCTTCATCTTCCAGGGCTTCTCTTTCTCATCAGACCTCTTCTTCTCCTTCCAAATTAGGTACTTCTTTTTCTTTATTTTGTCCTCTAAGCTTAATTTCTACTTTGGATCCGATATTTCATCTATTTTTACTATCAAGTTCGGATTTTTTCTCACTTTGTCGCTGTTGCATTAGAGAAACACATATACTATAAACTAGATTTATCATCTGTCAATATACCCAGAGGCATAAACCTCATTATATCTAAAGGGTCTATTTAGATCTTCATGTTTTTTTTCTTTAAAGGTGTTACTTTGATAGTCAATATCGGGAATATGTGAATTTGTGTACGTAAGTTAGAACTATAAATGATTGTTTTAATAACTATGTGTATTAGCGTATGTGGGTTAGAAGAAATGATTTTCTTGAAGTGATTTCGCAATTTGGAATGCAGGAGTATGCAGAGCGAGTCAAGTGGTTGAACTATTTCCAACAGTGTCTCCTGAGATTGTTGTTAGGGAGGCAAGGTTAGAGGATTGTTGGGAAGTGGCTGAGACTCACTGCAGCTGCTTTTTCCCTGAATATTCATTTCCTTTAGATTTGCTGCTGCGCGTTGACAGGATGTTTGCTATGCTTTCTGGATTCACTGTGCAGCATGGTTATAGGAGAATTTGTTTGGTGGCTGTTGTCAGTAGCTCGGTTGATGAAACCTTCTTTTTGGGAAGTGAAGATTTCAAAATTGGAGGTCTTGATGGAATATTCAGTCTGAATAGAGGTTATGTTGCCGGGATATTGACAGTGGATACCGTGGCTGATTTTCTTCCAAGGAAAGGGCCTCTTCGGCAGAGAAGGTCAGTTGATTATATACTCTTGGGCTAGTGCTTGGTAATCTGCTAGTTTGTTTCTTTAGTTATCTCTGCTAACCTTAGAAAATGATGATGATTTTTAACTTGCTGCACATTTTTTTTTATAAAATACGTATCATGATGTATATGATCTTAACATGGTGAATACTGCATAAAAGACTCACTTGATGGTTATTATTAGTAGTAGTAGTATGATTATGATGGAGTATTAGATCACAAAAGGACTGTAATGTTTTAAAATATTGGAAACAATGTCTTTCAATATCATTGTCCATCTGTATTTTGTATAAAGATTATCATTTTATTTTGCTGTTTCTGTTTCCTGTATCCCGCTTTTCATCAGTTGTTTATGTGCATCTTATCTGAAGAGTACTATCAGATATCTTCATAAGACTGCAACTTCATTCTCAGGTTTGCTGTTTATGTGATCATGTCACTTCTCTGTCTATATTATTGTGCGGCTCTATGTTCCTTATTTGGTCTTAAAATGTGGATCAATGGCCCTTGCTCTATGTTCCATGTTAGGTCATAGTTTCGATATATAACCCTGAACCCTATCAATCACTTGATAATGAAAAAGTTCTGACATTGGTGTTTATGTCTATAGTTCTGTTCTTATTCATGTCTGTTGATCTCTTGATACATGTTATTGAAGATGGAATAGATGAGGAATACTCCCAGTGTCTTATTGTTGCCCCGTCAACACCCAAGTGAGAATGACGGTGACACTGGTTTAGCGTATGGAAATATCTCCAGTACTAAAGCACTAACAAATGTATATGAAAATGTTGAAGTTATGACGATCACTACTCATAGCCGTCTGACGTATCACTAAGATACGCCAAAAGTTCAGACGGTTTGACAGAAACTCTTTGACTTAGTTGAAATTTTATGTTGTTTTCAGGACTGGAATTGCATACATATCCAACGTTGCAGTTCGGGAGAAATTTCGGAGGAAAGGAATAGCGAAAAGGCTGATTGCAAAGGCAGAGGCAAAAGCCAGGAGCTGGGGCTGCCGTGCAATAGCACTGCACTGTGATTTGAACAACGCCGGAGCGACAAAGCTATACAAAGGGCAGGGTTTCAAAAGTGTCAAGGTTCCTGAAGGAGCAAACTGGCCTCAGCCCAGGACCTCTCCAGATGTCAAGTTCAGCTTCATGATGAAGCTTCTAAACAGCCGTACCACTGCTTAGCTTCTTAGGAACACGAAAGCCATTATTTAGGAGAAAAAGAAATGGAAATGTAGGAATTTAAGCTAGTTTGTTGTATATATTTTTATAAATTCAATGGTATTAGCTGCAAATATTTTGACAACTGCACTTGCAGATTTATCCTGTGCCATCCCTTGTATGTTCTTATAATAGGTGACACTTGTAAAGCTCTTGGAACTTGATTTTGGATAATTAATTTACTAATTTATTTTGCGATTAAATGATTATAGAATATTACTGTTGTTATTTTTATTTACTATCCCACTTTAACTTGCTTCATTTGTGATCAACGCTTATGAAAATTTCAGTAGACTTACAACCATATTTTCAGTTCTTTTCACAATCTTTCAGTAGACTTAATATAGATGTATCATGAACGTTATAAGCATCCGGAAACTTGATATCGAACAATTTGTCAAACGATTTACCGTTGTCTAATTTTTTGTCGAACAATTTGTAGTCCTTACTACCATAATTTTTATACCGACTGACTTGTCAATTGGTGTTATGGTTAATGGCTATGTGGTTTCAAATTGATAGATAGGTTGGTTCCCAACCCTAAGTAAACATTGTTCATAAAGTATTACGCTGGCCACATGGTTGCCAAAAACCAACGATTAAGAGAAAATCTGACCATATGATGAATTAATAATACTCGAGGGAGTCAACGTTAAAATAAGCTGCTCGGGCTGCAGCTTTCGTATGCATCTCGATATTTATACAGTCACTTGTCGTAACAGATGTAAGTTAAAAGAGCTCAAACCGCAAAGCAAACCAAAACTGCAAATGCATTATTATGTTATTCATCTCTCTGCAACTGAACCTGGGTAATGTGGTCGCCTTCCCACTGAGAAAGAAACGAGTTTTACAGACTTGTGCTACACATCAGCTCCAAATTTTACCTGCCAACAGAGTCGTGAATCAGCCACAATGAAGCCAAGTTTTGATATTACACATTGACACCAAAATAAGGGTGGTCATTCAGTAGTACAACCTACCAAAAAAAGGTGTTACTTCAGCAGTACCACTTACAACGCTTGGATGAATTTGTCCAGGGCAGATGTGTCCAGGGCTTGGAACTCATTAAGAGCAGCAGACACTGCGAGTCCAAGTTTCACAGCCTCTTCATGGCTAGGTGCCTAGAGTATTTGTGGTTTTATGTTAGTTTCAATCTTGCAAATGATTTACAATTTCTGCAATGTTGAATAGTAATTTTCTACCTCAATGTTAAGGGGAAGAACAGGGTCGTGAAGAGAGAGTCTTAGAAGGAACCACCCACCAAAGCCAGAAACTCTAACCTGTTTCAGTGAAAAAATAAGAAAAAATGAGAAATTTGTTGGAATTTATTAGAACAAAAAGATTCGGATCTGTTCAGAATACAGTATTCTCAAATAGTTAAGGAGCTATGTGAATGCTTCAAATACCGCCTACATAACATTGTTTCTAACAGTCAGTTCAAACTTACCCCTTCATAGTTAACAGGAGCTTTCTGAAGCTTTGGATCAGAATCTATACGGTTCTCTAAATGTTTCAACACGGCCTCCCCATAATCACGGAAATATCTGAAAATTCCAATTTACCAGAATCGTCAACTGCAATGGCACATAAACATCCTTAACAAACAGAATATATACAGCAACATACCCTCCTTTAAGATCTGGATGATTTTGATCAATTTTCAGTCTCAATTCCACAGCAAATCCTGGTTCTTGGAGACCCTCTACCAAGTCAGTCAAAACTTTGCTACCACCACCAACTCCGGCAGCTCTGGCTGAAGCAAGTTTATTTAAGAGTTTAACCTGCAATTACAACAACATTGCACTTGATGAAAAAATTCATACCTAGCCACATAGGTTATTTGATTGATTCATGATTAGCTACTTTAACATGCTAAAAAAGGCCAAACCAAAATATTGCCATAAAAACATACCATGAGATATGCCCCATCATCAAGCCAGTGATTTTCCTTGAGAGCTCCATGGCCACTGGTTTCAATAGCCAGATGTGATTCCTCTCCAATAGAATTCTGTCAGCATTGCTATTAGTTAGTTTCAAATACTTCAAAAGATAAAACAAAGAGATAAATGACTACATAACAATGTTATACAGGTTATAAGTTCCAATAAGGATCACTAAATTATCAAATGCTGACATGGCAAGACAGCTTGATGTCGACATCTAGATATTTCATCATTGACTAAAAAGAATTTTGCATGTGCAGAACACCATTATCTGGGTTTTCAGTTAGATAACTTCAGCTAAGCTTATATGGATACTTTTATAATTATAATTATATTTAATTTTTTTTTTTACCACACCCCTTTCCACCTCCCAAGCACAAAGCACAAACTTAATTAAATTCCCTCAAGGCTAATGTGAGCCCAATTGATCTCTAAATCTCTTACTCCACAACAAGAGATCTGATTAGATAGCTATCCTCTGAGGGCAAAACAAAAACATAAGGTAGGCACCATGTTGTGCAAACCCAGTTGGAGCATTGACATATAACCAACAATAAAAATGTTAGCCACCATTTGAAATATCAATCAACCAGCACAAACTAATTGGAAAGAAACAAAAGCCCATAATTATTGTAGGTACCATTTATTATTATTCATCCAGGTTTCTTTTTAGTCTCATGACTCCATGAACAAGCACTCCAATCTAACACTTGTCATATAACACCTACTTACGTTAACATTTGTAACTTATCAACGTAAAACACGATAATTCAAAATCCGTCTTACCAGACGAATAGCTTCGTCAATGACATTTTTATACCCTCTTTTGAACCGATGGTGCTTTCCTCCTAAAAAATTTCCACATTGTTAGCACAGTCATTACAGAAAATAATCATGAAGCCACCTCATTTTGCATCATACCAAGTTTCTTTTCAATAAAAGTTGTCAGCCCATCTGAAGTCACACTGTCTGTGACAATAGTTGTTCCTGGATGCTTAACAAAAGAAACAAATGGACCAAATGGGTAAGATTAGAAACAGTTTATGCATGGGAAAAAAAAAAAAATTTCTGGAATAAGAAAATCTTACTTCCTCGAGAACGATGGCAGATGTAAGGGCAATTAGACGATTCCGGTTAAATTCACGACCAGTTGAGTCCACAGCAGCAGATCTTGTAAAAGATCATCAAAAATCAATAATTGAACATACTGAGTTTGAAATCAATAATTGAACATACTGAGTTTGAAAACTAAAGAGAAAATTATGTATATACCTGTCAACATCCGTGTCAAAGATGATACCTAAATCAGCCTTGTTATCAAGGACTGCCTGAATGATAGCCTTCATTGCTACCTTATCCTCCGGGTTGGGAATATGATTGGGAAACAAACCTGATTTTTGGGAAAAAAATGTCATTCAAATATTTGAATATCAAGGCCCAACTTAAAATTCCAAGAATTATATATTACCATCTGGCTCCAAGAACTGACTTCCAGAAGTTATAGCACCCAGAGGCTCAAGAACCTTAGCCTGACAGACCATAGGAAAAAAAAGCCTACATCAAGTAGTTGTATTGATGTAGCTCCATAATTGCTAAGAGCATAAAACACTTAATTCAAAATAGCATACATTCACATTATTGAACCAAAATTCTAAGGTGCCCTATATTAGTAACAGGTTACTTTACTAAACCTGAGGATATTCTAGACATCAGATGACCAGAGATCTATTAGCAGAACTTTGCTAATTACCCAAATTCCACAATCTTGGATATTCCAATAAAAACCTCTATAGATGTTTCTACAGGAAATGACACCCATATGGAAACCAATATGAAAGGAATTAAAGCTTTCTTAACAAAAACGAAGCACTATCCCATCAGTCTAATATATTTTGGAAACGAACATGAAAGGAATTATAGCTTTCTTGACAGAGACAAAGCACTATCCCAACAATCTAATATTTCAATCCCAAGAAAAGATTACAAATAAAACTTACAGCAAAAAATCCTCCTGCTCCATTTCCTGCATCAACAACGATATGGAATCCCTCCAATGGCTTCTCTAAGATTTGACAAAACCAAACAGCAATTAGCAAAAAAAAAAAAATGAACCACCATGGAAAGAAATATCTAAACAAGTACTAGTAATAACAACAGATACAGAACAAATGAAAGATTGCACTGCAAGTAATAACAGAAAATGATGTTAATCTACAAATATAGTCCAACCCTAATTAAACATTCTGAAAGCTGTTATTACCTATATTTCCAGCAGCTTTTTGGACAGCCTTTACCAGACCAGATGCATACACAGTCATGTAATCAACTTTCTTAACAGATGCGGAGGCCTTCTTCCGCAAATTCAATAAACCTTCATCAGTAAAGTTACTGTATATATGAGCAGCACGCTCCAGGATGTCTTTGATATCAGCTTTCCCAAGCCCTCCAGCATTTGTGAAGAATTTGAACCCATTCCGGTTGTAAGGCAGATGACTAGCTGCTCACAAGATTAAAAGCTTCATTAGGTGAAAACTTTCACCTAATCTTAAACAAGATATCTAACAACATCACCAAAAAGAAAAAATATCTTAAATTTCTGTCCACGGAAACCATGTGTGGAAATTTCAGGCATGTGTACTCTTAAGATTAAAGGTTCTAAGCTAATAGAAGAATAACATTTAATGCAATACCTGTAATCATAATAGCCCCATCAACTGGACATAAAACTGCATCATTTTCTGTGAGTGTGCTATTAAACATTGCTGGTGTGGATGCTAAACTACAAAAGGCAAATGAAAATATTAAAGATGACCAATTACAATTAGTCATTCAGAAGCAAGTTTGTTGATCATGCTAAACATCAAATGCATAGTGTATATACTATATATATGTAAGACAAGGAAAAGAGAAATCCATATGAGAAACTGCTTGGTCAACAGGACTACAGCATCTCATTACATGATATTAAAAGCAAAAACTTAGCATCACTAAATGACACAATATAGTCCATTTACTGTCCGAGACAAAATGTAAACCTGTCCAGTTATAACAATTTGCATAGATTCAACTGAGAAACTGTTTACAGCCAATTACCCAAATTAGGCCTGACTCCGACAAATATCAATAATGAACTTGCTAGGGCCATCCACATTTACCAGACATATCCGATACTACAAAATGTCTACCAGCACTAACATCAATAGACAGGACAAAGAATATAACAAACATTTGAAAGTCATGACCTACCCATATTGAACAACATCCAGATCAGCACCAGCAATGCCTCGCGAAACCGCATCCTGAAATCAGTAAGTAAAGAAATAAGCACAGAATAGGCTTCCCGGAGACAGCTGCTCCAATAATTTGGTTGTGATCAAGTAAAATTCCAACTACCCACTAGAATTGCATGAGGCTCAAACTTAATTTTACAACGGAAAAACAGACTACCTGTAACATTTGTGCAGATATGCGAGAATCATGACCGACCGAAATACACAAGTGTTGGGATGCATCAGCCTTTTTCTTGTCCAATAACCATGCAGCAAAGGCAGCTACTATTGCTTCTGTAACTGGTTCGGTGAGGCTAATAGGTTCCCCCTCGACACCAGCAACAGCAACACCACGAATATCACTGAATTATCATGAAAAAAATGAACAGAAACATTCTATAATCAACATGGCCTGAAATGACTTAGATAAACCCAAGTATATTTTAAAAATATTTTCTTCGAGATTGGAACATGCAAGGAATAGTTGAAATCGATGCAGAGATTAAATAAAAACATAAAACTAATATATTATACATCACTACTAACAACGGGATTAAAAAAAAAAAAAAAAAGAAATATAGCAGCACATGCGAATCAAAGGAACTGCCAAATAAGAAAGTATTAGAAATAAATGCATGGTAAAATGGGATGGATTCTTCACCTGCCATTTTGAAGTTTAAGAAAATCAACTTTGTCAAGCGCTGGTACTGCAGTAGTAGATGAAGCTGCAATTAAAACCCAAAAAGAATTTCATGAGAAGGTGTAAGAAGTTATATATTTGTAAAACGTTGTCTGATAATAAATCAAAGTTTGTCAATATCAGCTGAAAAACAGAACAATTATCTCCCAATAACACAATAAAACGCACTTTGATTCTTAAACATGGGTAATGTTTGATGCATATCGATGATGGTAGAAATATTTAAAATTCATTTTAGGGTCAAATGCAATCGTTGCATTTGATATCAACCTGGGTAGTGAGAGTCTAGAACAGACCGTTGCAGTAAACAGTTCCTTGGTTAATAAAACCACTTTGGTATTTGAATGGGTTGCGCATTTGCATGGAAGATATGCCAGTCCATGCCAACTTCCCTCCTTGAAAGGGAAGCAAGTTGCGCATACAAGGGGCACAACAGTCCCTTCGGTATTGGGTCTCGAACTTCCTATTCTTTTGGTAGGTTTGTGCTACAAAAACATTTTGAACAATCTTCCCTGACATTGCTGCATAAGAATTTACAACTTTATCAGATTCACCTCGACAAACGGTTAATCAAACTATTAGAATGGCTAAAGTCATTTCTACTGCAGAAATCCCTTGATTTCTCTTTTCTTTCTCCAGTTGATCATGTCAGACTACACTAAGCTGCAGCCATTACCTCTAGATTGTATGGAATACAAGTAATCGTTACACATAAGTAGCTATCAAAAGTCAATAATAGTTAATTGGTAAAGTACATTTAACCATTAATATTAATCATCGAAAACCATTGAATTCTTGATACACATATTTCAAAATAACAATAACATTTTCCATTACAGGAATATATAACAACTCAAGTGTGACTGATGAAAACTAATATATAAATATTATAAGGAAATTTGTTATTGCTAGTTTAATTATATCTGTAGGAACTTAAATGCTATTACTGTGCTCTTATCTTAATAATGACACAAATGATTATATAATTTTGTTCAATTCGCACTTTTGTATATACAGACCCTTCTCTAAACTTAGTAGAACAAGCATTTCCGAGCCCTACTGATAAACTGCAATTTATGTTCATATAATTTAATCATAAAAGCAGATTCAAATAAAAAATAATAATAATAAGTAATTTCTGCCACTGTAAGCACTAGAATTAAAGCCATAGGAAAACATATAAAAATTCTTCACAAATTCACATGCAAATGAAGACAAATTATATAGCAATTAAAAACCTCGAAATTCTTAAATCTATTGATGGACAAGAGATGAAGAATAAGGAACTAAGTTTTGAATTTTACCCGACATTTTCTTTTTCTTCTATTTTTTCTGTTAGGGGGCTGGATAAAGATTGACAAAGAGTCTGACGGAGAAACTGATAGAACACTATGGAAGAAGACGAAGGGTAGGTGATCAAATATTTTTTTAAACAAACACGTGGCAGCGGCATTTTTGCAATAACTTAGGCTTCGTTTGTTTCAACTTTCATAATACTACTTTTAGTATTCCCAAAAAAGTTAAACAGTAAAATACCCAAAAACTTTAATTTTTAGGAATACTACTCTCAATATTATTCAACTTTTTTTAAACCCTTTAAATTTGATAATTTAATTAAATACCCCTAAATATTTTTTTAAAAATTACAAAAACACCCCAATAATTTATATTTACCAGATTCCGGCCACCACTGTCGAAAAGTGGCCGGAATCTGTTAGAATGGCGCACTACCGGCTGAATCTGGCCGGTAGTGCGCCGATCTAGCCTTTTCCAGTCAGATCCACTGTGGATCTGGCCGGAAAAGGCCAGATCTAAGGCCAGATCTGGCCGTAGATCTGGCTTTTGTCGGCCAGATCCACCATGGATCTGGCCGGCAAAGGCCATATCGGCGCACGACCGGCAAGATCCAGCCGGTCATGCGCCAATACGGTGAACCCGGCCACCCTCCGGCGGTGGTGGCCGGCTGTCCGTATTTGACATTGGGTTGGGGGTGTTTTTGTTAACTTTTAAGATTTTATTATAGGTGGTGTTTTGTAAATAAACAAATATAGGGGGTATTTTATTAATTTATAAATCTTACATCGTAATACCCGTCTAATTCAATTTTTTTTTAACTTTTTTCAGAAAACTTTTTCCAAAACCCCCAAATTTTGAACCAAACGGAGGATATTCGTTTAAAATCAGTAATTTACGAATCTGGATAAGCATCGCACTGATGTCACTTTGGCTGCGTCTCTTTCCTATTTTATCCTCTATCATATTCCTATCATTTCTAAAAGAGTTAACGACATATTCCCACCCAAGATTTCACAAAATCCTAAGTTGATACCTTAAGTTCCATTTATTTCAGATTTTTACCCTTAAAATAACGCTGTTAACAATTTTTAGGGTAGTGAGGGTACAATTACAATAATGCCCTTAACCCTAAATTAATAAATTATATTTTAACCCCTAAATTACTAAAATTATAAATAAACCATCTTATTTTGAAATTACTTCAATTACATCTTCAGTGACTACGCACCGTCTCAGTTTTCACCGGATCTAGGTTGTTTCTGATGGCGTTGAACCCCTTGGTCACCTCCATCACCTTCCCCATCGTCCATCGTCCAAAATCCCTCTGGTTCTCGACTCATTGGTCCCTCCAATCGCTGGCGCCGTTAGGCTTAGGTTTTCGTTGTTCTTCATTGGATTCCAGTCGATTCCAGCGACAAAAATCCAATTGGACATCACCACTGCAACCAACGTCTTTAAATCTACGAAACCCCTGTGTCCCCACCAACCGTTTAGTGGCCATTTGTTGGTGGAGACCTACGAAAACCAGTCGCATGTGGCTGGTGATTGGCGAGTGATGAGAGGTTGTGAAGGGTAAGGTTTTGTAGAGGGGAAGATGAGAGTTCGAATAGTGGTGACAAGGGTGATTTTGGGTGGAAGAATCGCCGAAAAAGAGGGAAAAATGTCTGCGGTGATGTTGGCTAACGTGCGCCAGAGTTTTGTTAGGGGCGGAGATTTGCTAATGTGCGCCTCCTCTGTGAAATAACCAGTTTATCACTGAGCCATTATATCTAACCATTTTTCGTTACTTTAAGGATGGGAATCTAAAATAAATGGAACTTGGGATTTCGTCGTTTACTCTTTCTAAAATATACATTTATTTTAAAATACTATTATATTTGATTTAATTTTTTAAACCTTCTAAATTTGTTAATTTACTAAACACCCTAAAAAAAGTTTAGAAATTAACAAAATCACCCCTATCCACCCACATTTGCCAGATTCTGGCCATCACTACTGGAAGGTGGCCAGAATCTGGTACAATAGCACACTACTGGTTGGATCTGACTGGTAGTGCACCGATATAGCCTTTTCCAGCCAAAGATCTGGTTGTTGACGGCTAGATCTTTGGTCGTAGCTAGTCGTCAACGGCGACCATATCTTTGCTCATCGTTGACGACCAAAAGTGGCCAGATCTAACTGTCAATTGCCAGATTTGGCCCAGATCCAACCAGTCGTGCGCCGATGTGGCGACTCCGGCCATCCTCTGGCAGTGGTGGCCGGCTGCCTGTATTTAATGGGTGGGTGGAGGTGTTTTTGTAATTTTTAATGTTTTTATTACAAGGGTGTTTAGTAAATTAACAAACATAGGGAGTATTTTTGTTAATTTTTAAATCCTACCTTGTTATTACCACTCAACTCTTACTTTTTCAAAAATACTAAAACAAACGCATCCTTTATTTATTCGGCTGGGTGACATTTTCACCCCTGATTAATTACAAAGAACAATTTTTCCTTCTTAGTTTCGGAAGCATCACTCCTATCTAAGGGTGTTCACAAACGGTTAATTGAACCGGTTAATTGATTTTTTGAACCAAACCAATTTTTTTGTTCAAGAATTTTCCTGAATCAAAACCAAATCGGTTAAGGGGAAAACCGATTTTCCCTTTAACTTATTTTTTATTTTGATTTTTTCCTAATTTAAACCAGTTTTATATTATATTATTTTTTTAATAAATTGGTTTTATTGTTTTTATTTTATAATTTATTATTTTTATAATAAACTGGTTTATATATTTTGATTTTTATTGTTTTTATTTTATATGTTATTATTTTTATAATAAATCGATTTATAAAACCGATTTCAGTTAACCGGTTCCCATAATCCCGTAGACCAGTAACCAAACAAAAAAATCAATTTTTGTATTTCTTTGAACCAAAATCAAACCGGTTTTTTGGATAACCGAAAAATTAGTTCAGTTCAATTTTTGCATTTTTTGAACGCCCCTACTCCCATCAATAAAAAATGGGGATGATATTGGTTGTTTCCGAAACTAAAGGGAAAACTGATGTTTTCTAATTTTTTTGCCAGTTTGGGCGTCAAAATGTCATTTGGCCTTATTTATTCCTTGTCACAACAGATTTTTCAGCAAGTAGCTTATCGAATATTATGGTATCCATGTCGGAAAAAATTAAAATACTATAATATAAAAAAATATCAACCCATTTTGATTTGTATGTAGCTATACTCCCAAATCCGAATTGGTAATCATAATTTAAAAGCAAAAAGTGGTTTTAAATGCATTTTTTAAATTCTAAATACCTTTAAAAAAAAAAAAAAGAATTTTGAATTATTACAAATTTAATTACTGTTATGATCAGTTGATGCGTGATTTTGACACCAACAAAACGCACGTGTGAAGTGCTAAGCTGGCTTAGAAGACACACGTAAATGCAAGAAAAAATGAGGGTAAATGCAATAGGAACAGCTTTTAAAGTGGTTCGGATGCTAAGGAAGCAAGTCCTACATCCACTTGATATTTATATTAATGATAGGGGTCAGGTCGCTTTAGCGGACTGACTTACAAATGATAATACAAGAGAGAGAATGCTATATATTCTTGAGAGAGAGAGTAGCTAATCCCTTAAATGAGAGAGGAGCTCTCAATTTATAGTGGGATGGATTAAGGTTATCATTACTGAATCTGTGAGTTTGTGGGATTATCCGTGCAAATCCTTCTTTATGTCACATTGCCCACCTTCTAGAGTGATTTACGCAATTTAGCGCAGGGATTGGACACTTGGGATCACCACAACTTCTGGCTGGCCTGGCACGCTCCCACTATTCTGATAGAAGCATGCTGCTCCTTTCCTCACGTGACTCAGCTGCGGGTGTACCCAGGCTCTGACTTTTGTACGCTGACTGGACCTTACGTCAGCCCTACGTTCTTTAGGCATAACAGAAGTCCCCTAGTTTTTAAGGTTTAAGGATTGAACCTTGGAAACTATAATTCATGCCGCGACTGGATGCTTTCGGGAAATTCTGATGATTCCGACCTGTTTGAAAATAGGTCGGGGTAACGCTTTTTGCGAACACGACCTCGCATGGTCATCGCTTGTTAAGGATGAGCTACCTGACTTCGTCAGGCGTTACCTGTTGTACTTTTGATATGGATGCATTTAATGAAACAGCCTTTGCTTTGACGGACGTGTCCTGTGCGTAATAAGTGCCAACCAGGCGCATTAAATGCGTGGTATGCTGGCACGATGCCCTTTATCAGAACATTAAATGCATGACATGCTGAAACGACACCCCTCATCAAGGCATTAAATGTAGATTGGGGCGCAATTAATGCTGAGGGAAAGAGTGCCGTCGCTTGAGTTTTTCAATGGGAAGGGATGAAGGTTTGGTTTTCTTTAATCGTGACGCTTACTCTTTCTCACTGATCTGCGACATGTGGTCGTGATCAATGGTGAGACATTTTTCCGCCCAAACGTCGTTTTGATTTCGAGAAAAACAAGCGTCGTTTCCTTTGCTATAAAAACTCAGATCCATCTTAGGCAATGTCGCCACGCTCGTCTTTTTCAGAGAGAGCAAGAGACTTCGCAAGCTTGGAATCTTTGCCTTCCAAACCAACGTGTTTCTGATATCTGAAGCAGGAGGAGCCATTTTCATATTTCGAGAGGTAAGTATTTCTGATATCTGAAGCAGGAGGAGCCATTTTCATATTTCGAGAGGTAAGTATCGTTCTCTGCTTTTATTTTCTTATTCCCCGTGGTTGCTAAATGGCGTTAGTCTTCCGGTAGCTGATCGGAGACGAGACGCTTATGTCGGGTTCGAGCCATGAATGGCGGCTCGAATCACTATGTTATGGTTTTCTCTGGGTTTTAGGGAGTTTGTTTCCTTCCATGTTATCGTATGGAATAGTGTACGATGGCTAAATGACCCCTCTGCTTGTCGCTTTTGTAGACCAGTAGAATGGACCCCTCAACGACAAGATCCGGGGAAGGAACCGGTTCGTCCTCAGAGGGTGCTCCGAACGTCACTCCTGAGGTCTATTCGGTACTTACTGGGGAAGAGCTCGAGAGGGTGATAAAACAGTATGGTGTCAACGTGGAAGTTTTTCACAATAGGGCCCGCTTATCGTGATACCCATCAAGTGG